AGATGTGACATCAGGTCCAAATCCTGCGGCAGCAGCGCGTCAACGTAATATTATGAAACGAAAACGTATCCAACAGGTCGGTGTATTGATTGGTAGTTGAACATCTGAGACTGTTCAGTGGACGGAGGAGTAAGGTGGATGCTCGAAGAAAAACTGAAAGCGGATGATTTTTCAGCAGCTAAAACAGAGACGTAAAGGTGAAGGTGATGAATATTTGAGCGAACATCAGATACAAGGTGCAAAACATCTCGAGTCTGAGGGTGATGAAGAATTTGTTGAGTGTGACGGTAATCGGACTGATGATATTCCGGTTGGTTGACCGCATTTTTCGATACGATCGTTTGATCTGTTCGGGTATCGATTCATGCATAAACGTTCGGTGCTATCAGTCAACATTGACGATTTAAATGAATCTGTAGAAATATCGATGTTGATGCGTAATATTATAGTGGCGATCGTTTTGTGATTAGTGATGTATCTATATCACTTTTTTGAAAACTTCTATTTTGTTTTTTGGGCTCAAAAACGGCTCTGTTCTGTTCCAAACTGTTCCTTCCTCATTTGCGAACTGTTCTATTCTATACTATGGAACAGAACAGGAATAGAACAGTTCAACTGGAATAGAGACATCACAAATTGTGATCACATTCAGGAAGGTGGTTACCCATTCACAACGGGTCTTTCGTCGAAGGGTCGTAACGGCACTTTGATTGTGATCACTGAAGATGGCAAAACCTGGCGACGGAGGAATATGCGAAAGAAGGGTAGTGAGCAGATCTTGGAATATTTCAATTGCATTTCGTGTGAAGCTGTAAAGCGATATCTGCCGACGGGTAAAGTGAGTTTGTTCCTTTGTGAAGTTCGTTTCTATATTCGAGTGGGTAATCACTGATTGTGCTTTGTGACAATTTCTCGTGATTCGTTCACATTTTGGTGTTCAAATTTTGGAACTGAACTGTGAAATAGGATATATGCGTATAGACACGTTAACAGTTGATATCGATCGAATGTCGTTGGTTTTTTCGAATAGACTTGGTTAAGCTGTATGACATTTGGTACGTAACAGAGTTATTGAACAGTGAATGAGAGCATCGCACATTGTATTATTCCATCGGTTGTGTGAAATATCAATCGTAATGTTGATGGTTGCTTATCGTGAAGTATTTTATTGTTCAGCTGATCCATTACAATGTATTAATATCAGTGATGATAGTTCTGAACGTGGTAGTCATACTGAACATAAATGAAATTTTGACTGAAGTTTAATCGAAAGATGATGATTGACGAATGAGTCAATGAGATATATTTCTTGTAAATGATTCCGCCGTACTACTATCTCAGTTCCCGACGTTGTCGTTTCTCTACACACTAGCCACGAACGTTCGTGTACTACAAACGAATCCAGCAACACGGCATCATATTTGTGGTAATGCCCGTTCAACGGCACGAACCACTGCCGAACAGCTGGTGCGTAAGCGGAAAGCAGTTGCGAGACTAGCTGGAATCGGCTCGGTGTATGCCTATGACTCGGCCGCATCTGAGGCCAGAAATTTAGGAGCTGCAGAAAACTGGGATGAATCGGTGAGAGATTGATGTTTGTATATGGTATATTTAGTTGGATCGCTTTCTCGATTCGAAAGCAGAACACATAACTGGCGTTTGGGTGAATAGTACTGCCATGTTAATGCCAATCTGATTAAGGATAAGAGGAAAATTGGTTTGAATTTGAATAATCTCTAGTCAGTTATGGTGATTGCGAGTTTGCATAAACATTGTTTGGATAAAAGTGTGTGGTTTACGAGGGTAAGAAGATTCATTCGAAGGTTACACCAAACATCTTCATGCGTATGCTCGCGATCAGCATATCGAAGAAATTTTGTGGTTCTCTTTTTTAAGTGATGCAGTTTGTTTGTTAACTGCGGTTCATTTTTTCGTGCACTGTTCTATAATTATAATGCACCTGTATGTGGCTTTTTTAGAAAGAGGCGAAAACGTAACTCATTGTTTTTAGTTGATAGAAATGAAGTGAATAATTATTTCCGAAACATTTTTTCTCGATGTCATATCCCACGTTAAGACCTTGACTAGTGCAACCTAATGTTTCAGTATGAAACCTGACTCATGGCTGAAAGGGGACAAATGGCCAAAAATTTCCTGAAATTTTCGCAATTTTCACTATCTACGGTTTTTTCCGAATGAGCTAAAATTGTGACCTCATGTTTTTGGTTGTTAGAAATGAAGGCGAGATCCTGTAGTACACACATACAAAAGCACGCGTCCCAGTAATCAATCCTTTCTTACTAAAAGAGTGAATTTTCAAAGGTTTTGAAGAATTTTTTCATTATATCATATCCTCCGTTACGGTCTTACCAATGAAACTCTGCATTTGAGATTATCATTCCTTTTGTGAATCTGTTTCACAATATTCATTTGAGTTTTTGTCAAACGTCTTGGAAGAGATTGTCACGCGAACACCCCGTCGTTCACGCGAACAGCATCAATCCAGCCACAACAGTGCTCCTTCCCATTCTCGCGAGATTTCATCCATTCCGGACTCTCATTTCGACGATTCTGGCTGCTCGCGGTCGTCGGTCCCGAAACCGACAGCAACTCAGTCGGCATCGAATCAAAGAGCCTCTTCATGGGTTAAGCGTGAAACGTCGCATATTGGTGACGATGCGTCAATTCAACGCAGTGTAGCGCAATCAAATTGCGGAAATCATCCGAATCGTATTGTTGGATCACTTAGTGACAGTCAATACAGTTAGTGCAATATACTTATAACACCACTGACTGTAATATTTATTTACTTATAATATTTGCACTACTTGTACTTATAATATTTATACTATTTAAATCATTTTATACATTCAATACTTATAAAAATACCTGTAATATTTTTATTTCATCAGATACTAGTGCAAGCGGTAGATACACAACTCGGAATAATGGCTACCAAAATAGCAATCATTGTCATGCTTGTTGTCATTGCCATTG